GGAAAAGAAATTTAAGGAATCTTGAGACGACATTAGTCATGATATATTACCATGAGAATCATTATATTGGTAATAATTGAGTTTTTGGAATTAATTGATGTTATGACTTTAAAAAGGTTGAAATTGTGAATTTATAAATTGGATTAGATACGAGAAGGAATTCTGGTCATAATAATTACAACAACGGATTTGTGATCTTGGTTGGATTTTTAGATGGATGAAACCGGTTTCTATGTCGTTTTGTTATTAAAGAGATTATATTACGATTTTTAGAATAATGGCGATTTAAGGGAAAATTATTATAAACTGAGTATGATGGTGAGATGATTATCACGAGATATTTTAATTAAGATTGAAGTTAAGTTACGTTTTAAGAATAATTTTTAGCAATAGTTCATTGAGTATTCAATCGAAATATTGAAGATAATCTTATTAATGTATTTTGACGAACGATGAGGTAGATGATACTTTTAGAAATAATTATTGAGAGATGTGTTATTAAGGGAGACCTTTTCAAATGAACTATTGATGATCATGAGAATTATATATTGGGTATGGTCCTTTTTAGAATGGTTTCAAGTTATTAATATAAATTCATGAAAACAAGATTTTGATCATAATATGTTTAGTTGATATGTTGATGAAATTAGTTAATGGACGATATGGATAATTTGATGTATTTTTATTGTTATTATATGGTTCGTATGATAAAATGATTTGATGACGAATAAAATATATATTGATTATTGATATGTATGATTATAGCATGATGATGATAATGATAGGGATATTGAGTGATAGTGATACGATTGACGTGTATGAGTATGAAGTGATTAGAATATCGATTGGTATAAATGTGATTGGTAAATATAAATATTACTGAGATATTTTGTGACAATGTTGATATGATAAATGCTTTGATTAATGATGATGTGGATGAGATATTATCATGATCGATTTGTATTTGATATGTTAAATGATTACGATGAGTGAATGAGGTATTGATATATTGAGTACTTGGTAGATTTGTCAAGTTTGATTTAAGAGAATGGATTAATTATATCATTGAGAAGATGATGATTATATTGAGATCGTGCAATGCATCAAAGTATGCATAGATGATGTGAGATATGCATGGACTGGGAATATCAATGGGACGTTGTTGATTTCTTGGATCGATTGAGATATGATGGAAGAGAAAAATTGAGATTGTTTGATCATGTTAAATCACATAGACATAGAAGGGCCTATGCCTACCCCTATGAGATTGATTGGGTTGCGGTCCTAATGAAAGGATTTATGATAATCCTAGATTGGATGAGATTGTGGTTTTTGATATAACCACTAAGATGATGAGCTCGAGCGGGGTGGGCGTATGGTGACCTTAGCGCGCAAATTAATAACAAATGGAGAGTCTGCATTTCATGCATTGCATATGATATATATGATGGAGATGATTTCCATAAAGGAAAATCGTGAAGTTATATTCGATTGATGATTGATTGAAAGATTGATATGGTTAATGCCAAATTGGTGATTTGATTATGGATGAATGATTGATATGGTTATTTCCAAATTGGTGATTTGATTATGGATGAACGATTGATATGTTTGATGTTCAAATGATGAATTGACTTTGAATGAAGGATTGATATGATGGATTCATAAGTTGAGGTAAGTTTACGATTTTATGTCGATATACGACTTGATTAATGAAAGTCATACCATGAGGAATTGGGTTAAAGATGAATTTGGATTGATGACCTAGAAATAAATCTAGAGATTAATGAGATTTTCGTTGGCATGATAATTTGTTGATGATGTGTTTTTAAACAACAAGATGTGATGATGTGATGGCATGCTAACAATAGTTTTGCCGTATAGGCCAGGTCCACACACTCAGCTTAGTAGCTGACCCATTTTTCTTTCTAGATGTGACAGGTGTGATAAATTGAGGATGACTCTGGCACTGCACAATGATCGATGGAGGATTTTGATTTAAAAGGTTTTTCACCTATTGATTTATTCTAGAATCCTTATTTTACGATTCGTGTTTTGAGCATGCATGATAGTTTACATTGGTCAAGTATGATCATTAACTTGAGTTGAGTATGAATGGAGTAGATGAGATTGATAGTCTGGGTTATGTGAATCCTGATTTTGAGGAAGATTGATTAATGAATTGAGAAAGCGATTTTTAATAAATTGTTATGATGAGTTGAATTTTAAACATATGATAATGATGTGGATGTGAGTTGAGTCGAGATTTTGAAAGCGTAAACCCCGAGTGATTTCCGCTGCGTGGTTGAACCTTTGGTTCGACCCATGATTTTAGGGTGGGGTGTTACAACCTCCCTCCTCGTGCTGCCTCTCCACGCCACCGCCCACCACCGCAATCCCAAAAGAACAATCCCTCCCGACTCCCCCAATTCTAATTTCCCCAAATTTAAGTTTTCCCCTATTCTGTATATTTGTCGCCATACAAATCTCGGTTTCCCGGCTAATCGTGCCGAAAACTGGTCAATCGGTTGGCTGGTTAATCGAGCTCCACCGTCGGTCTGCTTTCGGTAGGATTTTGTCGTGTTCGGCTAACCGAAAAACCGTGATTTTAATTTTCGGTTAAACCAAAACCGACCGACTGAGACCCCTATTGTCACTAACCCTTCCTAAGTTAGTCTTGTACTCTCCTACACGAAGAACCATAATGCACATATTGTAGCTAACTCAGAAAGCACAATGGCTACAAGTTTGTCCTACACAAGCACTTATGCTAGCTAATCTTAAAAAGGAAATACTTAAGAATGTCATGCTTCCTGCAAGAAACTAGTGTTCTTTATGGTAGTATGTGTATTGCTTCAGTTGATCATGAGTTGATAAAACTGCCTTTGAAAGTTTGTATAGTCTATTTTATTTGTTAGGCTTTGTGGTGCTTGAAGCGAGTTTCTTCTATTACGATATGATACTCTGCTCACAATGTGATGGAAGGAAAGTGGTAGAATATATATTGAGGACATTATAGTATTTGTCCCTTTTATATAACCTTCATTAGGGCTGGTAGTCGGTCGGTATCCGGTATACCGGATATCGATTACCTGGTATTCGGTATACCGGAAACAGACAGTGTACCCACCGAATACCGATACCGAACAGGTATACTGAATACCGAATAGTCGGTATCCGGTATTAATACTAGTATACCGCATAATACATAATAGGTTTTGTCATTTATCACCCATACCAAACATAAACTAACGACTAATGTGATGCCAACACACAGGTTAATGATAAGCGCTTGTGTTGAAATCCAACCATTTCGACTTACCACACATTTTACGAGTCTATCATTCAAACTTCAAACCAAAACTCGACATAAACTACCCATTTCAGCACAAATCCTTGCTTAATTGGGACTCGAATATGATAGATTAATGACGAGCTTCTTGTTTATAGCAAGCAGGCATATAGATTACTTTTACCCTGTGTTTTTTAAGTGTTTTAGATGGTTGAGGTTTTTTGCTGGTTTTGTGTGTTTGCAGCTTCTGCACTATGACATAAAGTATGTTCCCTGTTTTGTAATTCTGCTTTGAAGTATAAGATTGTATTTCCTCGTCTGAAGAAAATGGATAAGGATTACAAGACTTTACCTAGTGAGTCTGATTGGGAGTTTGCAAGGAAGGTTTGTGACAAGTTGGAGTTGTTTTATGATGTGACTGAGCTGTTTTCAGGGGCTAAATACCCAACTTCGAATTTGTTCTTTGAAAATGTGTGCGACATAAAGGTGAGCATCTCTAATTGGATGTTGGATGATGCTTTCATTAGAGATATGGTCAAAAGCATGATGACAAGATTTGAGAAGTATTGGAGTACTATTCATGATGTTTTAGCTATTGCTGCTGTATTTGATCCAAGGTATAAGTTTACCTTGTTGGAGTGTTATTTTCCAGATATCTATAGCGTTGAATCAAGGGCATGTATTGAGAGTGTTCGACAATTGTTGGTTGAATTGGAGAAGGATTATAAGAAGTTAAATGTGGATGGGAGTCAAGAAGGAAATCCGTCTCATGATGGGAGTTCGATTAGTCAAGGTGGAGGAAGAATGACAACATATGATAGGTATGTAGCATCGTTGACTACTAGCAGTGTAGATGCTGAAACTGAGTTGGATGGCTACCTCAAGGAGAAAGTCTTGCCCAAGACAGCTGGATTTGACATTTTATTGTGGTGGAAGGCAAATGAGTCAAAGTATCCGACTTTAGCATTGATTGCTAGAGACATACTTGCAATTCCAGTGGCTACTGTGGCTTCTGAGTCTGCTTTTAGTGCCGGTGGAAGACTAGTTAGCCCTAGTCGCAGTAGACTTCTCCCAGAAGCTGTTGAGGTTCTAATGTGTGCTCAAAACTGGTTGCTCAATTCAACCATTCCAGGTAGCTTGATAACCTTTGATTGTTTGATTTCACATATGAACTTGAATACATGTTTTGAGTTATGATATTGTTGGTTACCATTATTTGCTAACTTGCTATCCTATTTGCAGATGGCTTTGAAACAATTGATAAGCTCATGACTTATGCCACTGTTAATGATGACCTAGATCCAGATTGTGCTTCATGTGTTACCAGTATATTTAATATTATAACTATCTTCTTTAAAACATCCATCTTTCTTATGTTTGTGGAGACATTTTAATTTTGGTCTATCTAATTCTGTAGAATGAAGTCGAAGTTATGGAGCTGAGAGTGAAGCTAAGATGACAATGTTCAAGTTCTCAAGGAGGAGGAAACTTTAATTAATCATGTTGTGTATTGATAATTTGTGACTTTGAATTTTCTAGATTGGAGTTGAACAATTTGTATGGATAGTATGTGATTTGCTTGAATTTTCTAGAACGATGTTTTATGTATGGATAGTTTGTATGGTGAGATTTATGCTTGATTTTTATTTTGATAGTTTCTTGTTAATTATTATTTTATAAATATTTTACCAAAAAAACCCGCGGGTACCCAGCGGGTTGGGTTGGGTTTGAGTTTTTCAAACCCAGCGGGTTTTACCCCGAGTTTTTTTGACGGACAAACCCATGAATTTGGGTTCGAGTTTGGCAAAACCCGCCCCAACCCGACCCATTGCCATCTCTACTTACAAACCACCCCAAGAAGTGACTACCAAGTTCCTAAAAAAAAAAAAGTGACTACCAAGTGGGCTTCGACGGCATACGTTGCAAGACAGTCCAAGTCTACCCATGTAAATTGGGCCACGTTTGAACGGCCCAATTTTTGTTAATGGCCGCCAGAATAACATTTGGCGCGGCCACGTAAGCAACTCAACTCTAGATTCGGCCGCACCTGATTTCATACCTCAAGTTTGCTCGAAAACGGAAACAAGGAATGACGTGTGATACTGATTCCTGAAAAGCTCCAAACATTTCCTTTCCCTTCTCTTCTGATTTCTTTCTTTTCTTTTCTTTTCCGTTTCCTCTCATTTTCTTCTCTTCATCTTCATCAATTCCGTCACCGGGCATAGAATTAAATGCTCAGACACCATTAACGGCTCTCCATTTCCTCTTCCGTAACAGTAATGCGATCTTCTTCCATCACCATCACCGATTACCTTCCCCATTCGCTCTCAACGCCACCACCGGGAACCCTGAACAAAGCCGACGCCGTCTCGATTGAATTCTGACAGGAGAGAGAGAGAGGATGGGGTTCTTCAGTATGATCTTCGGCTTCGTCGGCTTCGGAGTCGGGATTTCGACGGGCATTGTGATCGGTTACTTCCTCTTCATCCACTCCGTTCCAAGCGATGTCAAGGTGATATTTCTCCCCTTTGCAGAATTGATTTCCGATTTCCCGCATTTTTATTGGAGAAATTGTCCAGAGAAGAAGCTTAGATTGTCGATGAATACAAGGCCTTGATTTGGATTTTTGTGTTTCCGGGAATTGCCAGGATCCTGAGATTCGTCCGTTAGCTGAGCAAGACGACGAGACTCTCCAGCGGATGTTTCCTGAGATTCCACCTTGGGTGAAAAATCCTGACCACGAACGTGTAAGTCGGAAATTTCCGTTTCAGAATCTGTACACAGGTTCTTTTCTTGTGTATGGAGACTCATATTTGGACAGACTACTAGCTGTTTAGTGGCTCTTTGGATGCTCAGAAATGGTGAACTGGGTCAGGTTTTTCTTTTTCTGCAGATTGATTGGTTGAACAAGTTTATTGAGTATATGTGGCCTTACCTGGATAAGGTATTTTGCTTTTTGGTTCTCTATGTTTCTCAGATTTGAAGCCTTTCTCTTGATATGCACCTACTCAAATGTTTGCATATCTGTTCTGGTTATTGTGATACACATTAGGCCATTTGCAAGACCGTTCAGGAAATCGCAAAGCCGATAATCGCAGAGCAGATTCCAAAATACAAGATAGACTCTGTCGAATTCGAAACACTTACACTCGGGTCGCTGCCACCAACTTTTCAAGGTGAGCAAGCTGAATATCCAACTGCAGTCTTCTGAAAGTTTGCCTGCAGTGTGACCTGTGATTCCGCGTCTTGTGTGTGCGCATTTATTTGTTTTGTGTTTTACTGTGATCAGGAATGAAAGTTTATGTGACTGATGAGAAGGAGTTGATAATGGAGCCATGCATCAAGTGGGCTGGAAACCCTAATGTCCTTGTTGCTGTTAAAGCATTTGGATTGAAAGCAACAGCTCAAGTTCGTTTTGGGTTCTTCTAGCTCTTTCTGTGTATACGTGGAGTTGGGTGTTTTGTGGTTCTTATTGTTTGTTGTTTGTTTTGGATGATCGTGAAGGTTTTGGATCTGCAAGTTTTTGCTTCTCCCCGTATAACTCTGAAACCCTTGGTTCCTAGCTTCCCCTGCTTTGCCAATATCTACGTTTCCCTAATGGAGAAGGTTGGTCCAAAATGATTACTGTTCCTTCGGACTCTATTCTAAGTTGATATTGTTAGTGATTGGAGATAATTCAAAATGCAGCCTCATGTGGACTTTGGACTCAAGCTTGTGGGAGCTGATCTTATGTCAATTCCAGGAGTCTACAGACTTGTTCAGGTACTTTCAGTGAAGGGAAATCTGCAGACAGCTTCTTCTCATACTCAATCATTGCCTATCTGCTGCAACCATTACCAAGAAATTCCACCAACAAAATTAAGCTTAGAATGGTTTAGAACTATGCTCTCAATTGCCAAGATTCTCATGAGCCTTTCTTTCTCTCTTCTTCCCTGCAGGAGATAATCAAAGATCAGGTTGCAAACATGTACCTGTGGCCTAAAACCTTGGGAATTCAAGTCCTAGATGCAAAGTACGTCACAAAACAGTTTCATGCTTCATAAGTTCTCTCTGACCATTCCTCATCTTACTTTAAAAAATCTCCCATCAACCATGCAGAGCCTTGAAGAGGCCTGTTGGAATCCTGAGAGTGAAAGTCCTGAGAGCAATGAAGCTAAAAAAGAAAGACCTACTCGGTGCATCAGACCCATATGTGAAACTGAAGTTATCTGAGGATAAGGTACCATCCAAGAAGACCACAGTAAGGCACAAGAACTTGAACCCGGAATGGAACGAGGAGTTCAGCATGACAGTTCGAGATCCCGAGACCCAGGCTCTTGAGCTCCATGTGTATGACTGGGAGCAGGTGTTCAAAACTTCTCCACAGATGACTACCTTCCCCGTCTACTTATTAGATAATCTAAAATAACTGTGATCGTTTTCTCCTTCTCGTTAGGTTGGCAAGCATGACAAGATGGGGATGAACCTAGTCCCCCTGAAGGACATTCCACCAAAAGAGACCAAAGTCATGACACTTGACCTACTAAAAACCATGGATCTGAACGACCCCCAGAACGAAAAATCGAGAGGCCAGATCGTCGTTGAACTTACTTACAAGCCATTTAAGGAAGAGGAAATGCCCAGTACCTTTGAGGAGATGCAGACCGTGGAGAAGCCGCCAGAGGGAACTCCTGCTGGTGGAGGATTGCTTGTGGTCATAGTTCATGAAGCTCAAGATGTTGAGGGAAAACACCACACCAACCCCTGTGTCAGAATTACTTTCAAAGGAGAGGAGAAAAGAACCAAGGTCTGTCTGCGAATGAAACTCACACAACCAAAAAGAAAAAGGCAGTTCTATCTGCATTCTTTTTTTGTTCTATAACAATTATGGGTTTTGATGGTTGCAGCCAATAAAGAAGTGCAGAGATCCAAGGTGGGAGGAGGAGTTCCAGTTCATGCTGGAAGAACCTCCAACCAATGAGAAGCTGCACGTAGAAGTTACGAGCAGTTCTAAGCGGATGGGCATGCTTCATCCGAAGGTATATATATACATAGATTCGTCGTCAAGTTACTTGTATCACAAGATCAGAAGATGCTGATCTTGTTTCTGAATGTTGTTGAAACTAGGAATGTTTGGGGTATACGGTGATCAATCTGGCAGATGTCGTGCACAACAAGAGGATCAACGAGAAGTATCATCTTATAGACTCGAAGAATGGGAAGCTTCAGCTGGAGTTGCAGTGGAGAGCTGCTGCTCAGTGATGTTTCTTTGTTCTCTTCTCATAGCTATACTTATGTTTTTATGGGTTTGCGATACCGATGATGATAGGAATACGGTTTATTTTTATGAATGATAGGAATACTTTTAGAATCGAATGGAAATTCCATTTTTTTGGCACTATGTAAAGCGGACACAGAAACATATACTAATAAAAAGATGTTTGCAGTATGTTTCTAAAAGACAATTATAATTAATTTTTTTGATTATTTGTAGGTTTTATTCATTCAAAATTGGCCACATCAAAGTGGTGTGATATGTTATTGTGAGAATCAGCGATATAGCCAAGAAATTAGATAAGGTGGGTCCGATAAAAATTTATATCGTAAAAAAAAGAGAAACCGTTCACATAGATGATGAATAAATGAAGAATTGGAGACCCTAAAGAATGAAGTTTTGTTTTGTTTTAATATTATTTATGTAGAAACTATAATGTATTATATACAACTAAATTTATTATTTAATTATTATTTGGTGGTAGAAAATTTTACCAACATTGACAAATTTTAGGTAAAAAATGTCACTGACACTTAACTATTTTATCAGCATGCATTGGCTCCGCCTTTGGTGGGAGTGAAAATTAACTGATTAAGTGTTTATAATGTACGAGGCAAAGTATAATATATTATTATGTACTAAGTAAAACAAGCAGGTCGGATGAAACTGGTTTTGTTAAGATTATATAGAGATCGAGTGAAACTAGATCATAGGTCAAAATGATTCTAGTTATATGGAATTACATGTCAACACAAATATATGCTCTAGATCCATCTTCTAAGTGTTTAAATTTTTACTCATTTACAAGATCAGAGATAAGCCTTTGACACCTTCAAAATGGTGTTGTGTACTTTAATCGAAATTTCTAAAAGTTAGTTTGTTGGTTATTGTTCTAATCGAGTGATTTGTAGCTCCTACAAACTATGAAAAGATACCATGTAAATTATGAATGGATCTCAAAATTATCTGATCCAATCCTTTTGTTTTATTTGCTTGACGTAAAAAATTTTTTTTGGTTTTCCAATTGTGATGACTTCTCTCTTCTTATTGAAAATGATTAAGTTTTCTCTTGTAGTCCTCTAATTTACCAAACGTCTTCCCGTCAAAAAAAAAAAAAATACCAAACGTCTTGCTGTAGAAAATATAAAAAAATGAGATTCGTTAACTACATAACGTGACAGACGACTGCATTTGATATATTCAAGTACTTATTTTTTCTTACCTTCTTTTAAGATGGGAAAAAACAAGCATTTAAGTTTGTGGTAGGAGAAATTAATGGATAAAGTAGTTATTTCGATGTTATAATTAAATTGAAGTATTTGAAAATGGAAAATTTATATCAACAGTTCATGCTTGTAGTTCCAATGCATGATTGTCACGCCGATCGGCGTACCACTGGTTGAATCTGGTTCAACCTGTACCGGTCATAAAATCGGTATGACACCACCGGTATGACCGGCATGATCGATATACGAATCTCTAAGTAAAATGATCTTATATTAGTGAATTTATTTGATAAAAAGTAATTTTTTATTTATTTTATGTGTTAAAAAGTTAAATGTTGATCTTATTTGTTGGATTCAAGTACAAATATTTAGGTATTGACGTTAAATGTCGTGCTTAAATATGAGTATTTGTAAATTATTTGTAATATTAACCGGCATGAACCAGCACAAACCGGTATGTACCACTGGTCAAACCATTCCATTTGCTAAACCAGCACACTGGCACAAACCGATTTGACAACCTTGTTCCAATGTGTTCAATTCATCCGATATCTTGTCGCAGTGTTAATGAGAGTGAATTTTGGAAGAGCAAAATTGTAACAAGAGAAATTGCAAAAAATATGATTTTTTTTAAACTTCTTATTCCTTTCTTTCTTTCTCTTTTTGTCGAAGTATTACAAGACATTGAAATTTCGAAACCAATTTCACCCCCAAATTCTCTCTCTCTCTCCATCTCAATCAATCTAATATCATCTTGTCACTTGTCATTCAATAAAATTCAACAAGCAAATCACTAATTGGCACTCGCTCTTCTTTCTTTCTTTTTTGTTTGTTCACATTTTGACATTCTTATGGCTTCTTTCTTCTCCTCTACTTTCTTCTATCGACAGGTGACTTGAATCGCCAATGTCTTCTTCTTCACGTTAGGGCAAGGATCACCATTCTTCTCAAAAAGTCCCTTCTCCAGTTGAACATTACAAACTTCCTTTCCTAAGCAACTCTACTCAATACAAAAATACCACAAACCAAGTTATTGCATCCAAAAAATTGATAATTTTAATAACAATTTTTTTTTATTTCTTTCCTTTTACCTGTTCAACCACTTGTTTAGACACCGGCGAGCTGCACCTCCCCTGTGAAAATCCGCCGCAAGCGCCATAAGGATCACCATAGCTGGAGAAATCGACGACGGCGATCTTCTTCCCCACGGGACACATCAAATGAGCTCCTACCTTGGCTTCTGCACCAACTGGCCTGAACTTGTCACCTTTCCTCTCCCACTGTCTCACGCTCGGCGGGCTAAGCTCCGACACATAGCTGCAGATTGTGTCACGATTCACCGTAAGGATTGTGATGTTGGATGGATGTGCTGGTTCTTCCTCCAACACCACAATTAGGTTGTCCTTTGGTTTTAGGTACGATCTCGGAATGAGATACCTGAATGAATGAAGAATAATTTTTGTTTAGACAAAACAAACTTATAATAAATCTTCTAACTATCATAAACCAGTTGGTCCCAATAACTCGAGTTGTTGGGAGAAGGTTATGTTGGATCTTATATCACTCTCTAACACGCCCCCCTCAAACGAAAGCCAACCCATTTTGTTTAGATAAAACAAACTTGTAATAAATCTTCTAACTGTCATAAACCAGTTGGTCCCAATAACTCGAGTTATTGGGAGAAGGTTATGCTGGATCTTATACCACTCTCTAACACGCCCCCTCAAACGAAAGTCAACCCATTGACTTGAAGTTTGCACAGGCCCACCATACCTTGTGCTTGAAAGACAACGGTTAATATTGGGGGGTCGTGGAGATTCGAACACATGACCTTTCGATTCTAGGCTCTGATACCATGTCATAAATCAGTTGGTCCCAATAACTCGAGTTGTTGGGAGAAGGTTATGCTGGACCATATACCACTCTCTAACAGGATGAATCTTGGGTGTTTTTTAATTAAATCGATCGGCTTACTCAGCTTGAGTTGGATCTCCAAGAGGGGAGATGTAGGACATCCAGTAGCGACCAATAGACTGTCCATTGATCCAAATCATGCCTTTGATCATTCCATACATGCTAACTGCAACAGGGTCGTTTCCTTCCGGTGCATCAAACTTGGCCTTATACCATGTGAGCGGAGGTCCTTTCCCTACTTTTGGGATATCTATCCATTTCCCTTTCCCTTTCTTTGATCCACCATCGCTGAACAACTCATCATGCTCACCAACTAAACCAACCTGTAATTAACATGGAGGAGGAGTATTAATTCAAGTTATCATCAATCATGTCAGTGATTTGTTTGTGTTGTTTGTGTGTTCATTCAATTCAAACCTGTTGACCATAACCGTTCTGCGATAGATCGAGTGTTCCTGTGTTCAATCCTAGGATCGAAACACCACGAGGCCCTGCAAACCTGTGCTCCATGTAAGCTCCACTATCCTGCATGCAATTCATAAAGAGTGAGAATCTGTATGAGGAAATGATTATAGTGATAATCAACCTGAATCTATGTATGTTTTTGTTTTGTAGTTAGTTTTGACTCACAGGAAGTCCAATCAAGGTTCCCAAAAGGGAGATGTAGTTGATTCCAGGCTTCAACTCTACTGATTTCTGGAGTACAAAGCTCTTGTCGATCTGGCTTCCATGTGCAGATCCTACAAATTGGCCATTCACAAATGCTAACATGGCATGACCTAAGCTCGCAACCCTAAGAACCGGGAGGATGTCTTTCCTCATCGACAAGTCTCGTGGATCCAAGTTTATGCTGCATGTGGTTGGCACAAATTCAACATGGTTTGAGATTTTTGCTGCATTAGCTTGCAAGACAAGGTATTAGGTTACAATCTTCGTGGATCTGATCGAGTTTACTTACGTTGTGGTGTACCATGCATAGTCGGTCTTATCTTTAGTCAAAAAATAGAGCTCCATTGGAGTGGATGATACGACTTTAAGGTTGGTTGGAATGGCCTCAACGATCATCTTCCAGTCGAGCTTGTTCGTGACTGCTGATCTTATAAAGTTCCTTGAATTGTGTTGCGCCAGAATCTATTTTTTTTAATACCTAGAATAGTCAAGATTCCTCATGTCTCCAAAATATGCACAAGAATGTATGTTTTTTGCTATGTGATTGTACGTAGTAAGTGTACCGTTGCAGTGTTCAACACCACGGTTTTGCAATCGGGAAGGATGCTGATGGAACGAGGAGGGAGGTAATACTCTTGGCCTTTGAATTTGACAGTATGAGCAAGCCTGGTGTGATTATTGGTCAGGAAAGCTGCACACACATCTGTCCCAGGTTGCTCGTATATTCGAGCCTCGACATCTGGGTTCAATCGTGGGGCACTCGTAGATCCCCAAAGTAGAGCCTTCTTACATAGATTCAGAGCTTTGTGTACATCCTTCAGGTGACCGTACTTTGGTCCCCTCTCCAGACCTGAAATGATGAAATCCATAATTAGTTGAAATAGAAAGTTCAATCCATTCTTCTCTCTTAAGATATGTCATAAACCAGTTGGTCCCAATAACTCGAGTTGTTGGGAGAAGGGTTATGCTGGATCTTATACAGGCCCGTGTATGGTGCTTAACCACTTCCTTACACTAGGGGTGGGCATGTGGTTCGGTTTTACCGAACCGAACAAAAACCGACCGAAACCGAAACAACCCTTATTAGGTTCGAAATTCGGAGGGAAATATGCAACATTTCGGGAGCCAGGTTCGTTTGAACCGAACCGAAAAACCGAACTGCCGACCAAATTTCCGAAATTTAAATTAGCTACCCAGCCCAAGACTCAAGTGCCCAAGCCCAACCCTCTCTGCTCCTAGCCCAATCCTCACTGACCCAATGCCCAGCCCACCCACACCCAACAAACCAACTCCCTTGGCTCAAATCCCAACAACCCAACTCCATTCTATTGTTGATTCTCGTGACTCGTGAGTCCTCAACCCTAGCAATTTCTAGGGAATCAAACGGAAGGGAAAGGATGCTTTGACAAAAAAACGAAAGGGAAAGAAAGAAGGCAAGAAGCACAGCTGGCGACAGCCGCCCCTCCCTCTCTACCACAACCCACAACCACTGCGGCACTGCCTGCTGCGATCCCACCGACGAATGCGAAACAATCCCCATCTCGGCATCTCCCCGAGACCCCAACCTCGAAGCCCGACTTCGAAGGTCGACTCCAGCCTCGCCGGTGTCGCACTTGCCCTCTCCCTCCGTCTCTCCCACCGCCCCCTGCCGCGCAGGCAAAAAATGCAACAGCAGCAGCCCCCTACTGGCCACACTTCCTAGCGAACAACAGCCCTTTTTTGTTTTGGGCAGAAAACCGAACCAAACCGACTTATATTTCGGTTAGAATGAACCGAAGTACAATTCGGTTCGAAATCGGTTGTCATAATACTGCTCTCGGAACCTCGGCACATGTCTGTTCGGTTCGGTTTGAACCGAACCGACCGAACGCCCACCCCTACCTTACACGCCCCCTCAAACGAAAGCCAACTCATGGGCTTGAAGTTTGCACAGGCCCGCCATACCATGTGCTTTGAAAGACAACAGTCAATATTGGGGGTCGTGAGGACTTGTAACACGTGACCTCAAGAACAAACAGCTCTGATACCATGTCATAAACCAGTTGGTCCCAATAACTCGAGTTGTTGGGAGAAGGTTATGTTGGATCTTATACCACTCTCTAACAAAATATATATAAGAAATCAAAAATATCAACCTACCAAATTCGTCGATGGGAGCCTCGTCATAGTATCGGGTTGTCACAAAAGATGCAGCAGTCCTGCCAAGATTAGTTCCACCATGGTACTATAGCAACAAAAATATGCATTAAGTCATGGTTTTGTTTACGAACCTATCTCAAATAAAGCTTTTTTCCCCCTTAATTACCATGTAGTAGTTAACCAGACTTCCATTCTTGGAGAACCAACGAGCTACCGAGAATGCGGTATCTTCTGCGGACCTCTGAGATGGTGGATCACCAAACACTCGGAACCTAAAAGCAACATAACATTGAAGATTATTCAACCTAGCTATTAATCAATGTGGAACATAGTAATTAAGCAGATTTTAATTATGTAAATCTCTTATATATACTCACTGAGCAGTCCAGTTCTCAGTCCACAAAGCAGGTTTGTTGGGTGCATTTGGACCACTGAAGGTGTCTCCACATTGCCTCCCGTTGCATGAATTTATCTACAAGACGACAAAAAATCATACCCCTCAAACAAAATGACCTTAAAAGGGGTCGTTTGGAAGTTGTGTGATAGTTTTGTTGAGATTGTCATTATGCATGTATTGTTTACAATGCATCGTTTTTTTGTTGTTATTTTTTTAGCAGAAACAATACATGGGTTGTTTCTGTGATGTGACAGAAACTATCACATGTATCTCAACTTTTAGTTGTGATTGTTGAGATAGTTGAGTTGAGATTGTTTTGTCTCAGCTTTTAGCTGATGCGACATACACAATCACACACATACCAAACGTTTGTATTCTACAATGCATCAAATTCGACAATACATGTATAATATTATACATGCATTCTCAACAATACATCTATTTAGCAATCGCAACTTCCAAACGAACCCTAAAATCTTGAAGAAAAAAATATACTCAAATGAAACTAGTGATTGCTTACCACAGGACCGGGAGCATCCCTCTGCCTGCACATGATCCACGGGACACCAATATTGAGCCCTACAGCCATGTTTCCAGCCCACTGGACATACTTGTTGCCCAAGTCTCTATATGCTAGTTGGACAGTGTTGTATTCATTTTCAATCTACAACATGATTAATATCAAAATTTTCAAATTATTTGAACAATTGATCTCCAGTTTGAATTGGGCTAAATAAAACAACAATTAGACCTGAGCTAGAATGATGGGACCTCCTTGACCGGCAAACAACTTGGCATCTCTCAGCATCTCAACGATCATTTTGACGAATCTCTCCATGTGTTGCTGTGAAGTCATTATTGCCAAGAAATTGGAGTTCAATGAAACATACATTTTCGATTTCATAATCCTCACTATTTTGTTGTCTGGTTGGTTTAATTACCATGTAGGGTTCATTGTACGAACGAAAGATGATGTTAGGGACCTCTCTCAACCAGTAAGGAAGTCCTCTAGCAAAGATTATGATTCCAAGAAATAAAGCAAAGCCAAAGAATCAGCAACAATGAAAAGAGTAAAAAGGAGATAAACAAAGAATGAAGAGGAAATTTTTTACCCATGATTCCATTCAGCTTGGATGAATGGTCCAAGCCTAATGGTTGCATACAAACCATGTTCACCAATCAACTTTACGAACTTCACCAAATCAAATCTTCCTTCAAAATTGAACTAGAAAGCAAAAAAAGCAAATGCCAATTAAAAAAAAAAACAAAAAAAATTTATTGCACTTAATTGGTCAAAAAGAGATAACAAATTAATCCATTGAAATAAATAAACATTACTTTGCCTTCCTCCGGCTCATGGATGTTCCAGAATACATAAGTCTGTATCACATTGATGCCTCCCCTTTTAGCATCCTCCAAAAGTTTTGGCCACATCTGTAAAAAAAAAAAAACACAAACAAAAGAAGTTAGTTGTTATGTTTCGAGAGTATTGAAACACAACAACTAACTTCTGCCGTGCTTAATTGAAAATATATAATAAAAAAATTATTACATCTGCCGTGCTGCGAGGATAGTGAATGGAGCCAGAGAAAAGGAGCTCTCTTTTGCCATTGATGATGAGGGATCTTGCATCATACGTCACACCTACTCCCTTATGAAACTTTTCATGTGCGTCAACTGGTGAATTCAGGACAAGAAGGAGGAGGAGGAGGAGGAATGCTGCGATGGTGGTGGTCGTCGCCACCACCATCTTAGATGAAGAAGCCGTCATGAATTAGGGGAGGATTGAAATGGAACAACGATACCAAAAATGTCAACAAAGAGAGAAGTTTGGCAATGTGTTATCATAAAAAGAAAAGAAGTAGACGAAGAAGTTAGTGAAAAAAAAAAAAGTTTGTGGAAAACGTAATAATAGTATAAAAAAGTGAGCCGAAGATCCAGGGTGCGACTCCTCTTTCGAAAGGAAAGGAGGAGTACGCACGAGACCAACGACTGAAGAATAAAAGAAGATGAGGGGGACTCACATATAGGAGCTTGGTCGAGTTGCAGCGTGGTACTCGGCCTTGTTCATGGCTTCCATTCATTTCGTTGAGCATTTTCTTCGTTTTTGATATTCTAGGGACCAAAGTAATCTTGGCTAGTACACAAACAAATGTTTGGTTATCCACATGTGTAGGATAAGTTTCTTTTTGTTTTTGGGTCTTTTGTTGTTGTCATGGTTATTAGATGTTCATCATTTGTTTGAAACTTGGGCTGTGAGTTGTTTTTGTATGGATAATAAGAGATAAAAAAAACTTGATCCCATATGAAGGCAAACTTTTGATTAAGAAATGTCCACAAAACTTGATCCCATATGAAGGCAAACTTTTGATCCCATATGAAGACAAACTCGGACCCTTTTTATTTCATTTTCTTTTTCTTTACTATTAATACGATTCTGGGGGGTGTATTTTTATCAAAGTAACGCAGCAAACAATCAATCCGAAGATTGATTGAACTCGAATCAAGAACAAGGCGTTCTTAATACGAAATTGGGATAAAACGGAACCAACGGACAATTCCACATCTGGGGAAAGCTCTTATGGTATAAAAGGGTAGTTGCTCGACCACGATTGAAGAGGATATTCAATCGATACAAAACTCACAAGTTTGGAATCCACCAAACTCAAACAAGTCGCAACTTGCACAAAACCAAAGGGTTTATTTTTCGATTAATCAAAGTCTGAATTTTACAACGAAATATAGCGGTATTTAAAGGCAAATAAAACCTAATACAATCCTAATATAACTAGGAAACAATTAAGGTAAAAACAAACTCTAAAAACAGTACAAAACTCGGCCACAAACTTCCTTTCTTGACGGACAAGTAAGCTGCCAGCAAACAGTACAAAAGCAGCTTTCGTACTAACTTCGCGCCTTTCGTTCGAGGCCTTCTCGAACTCCAATTCTTCATCCAATTCCTTCCCTTTGTTCAAAAACATACCTAGTTTCATGTTGTGAAAGCCTTTGGACTTGAATCAGCTCCATACTCCTCGAATTAAGCTCCAAAGTAGGCTTCACAAAACAGTTTCCAGACTTAAACCATTTTTTGGCAGTTTTCCAGTTTTGAGGTAGCAACTTTGAGGCCTTGGAAAACAATCTTATTGACATCATCTAGATCCACAAGGCATACCATTGGAAAGATGGAAACTTTATCTGTAAAACAAACCCTTAACCTTGAATTTCCACCAAGCCAATTGAGAGAACCATGCCTCCAAAGTAGGTACCCTGAACACAGAATTTGACTTGGCCAAATTCCGCCTTTCTTCTTCCCAACTTCGATAGCTTCTTCGTCAAGTAATTTAAACGTGCATAGTTGACCATTTGGGATCATATCAGGCCCTCCCTTTTGAAAAAGAGTTACCCTCAACACTTTGACCTTTCTTTGCTCAACCATACACAGAACTGATCCCAAATTGGATCGAAAGAGGGCTGCTCGAACACAATCTTCGCCAGAATTTCAACATCTTCAACTCCAACTTTGATCTGTTCTACTGACTTTGAAGCTTGCAGGGTTGTTGTAGATGCTTGCTGGGGTTGAAATATACCTGCATTGACGTCCAATTTTTTCTGAACGTGATCGGAACGGCCACCACTTAGTCGAACTTCCTCTTTACACGTCAACCATCTCGAACAAATTGGGGCTTTTGGTGTCGAGGATTCTCAGTTCGATTCGTCGACGCCAGGATCTTCTCCAGGCCCCCAATAGAATTTTCGAACACTTTCCCAGCCTCGAATCATCGCCATCACCTTCGAATCAACCATACTTCCCTTCCCGCCGTCGCCAGTTTTTAAATTTTTGGAACCCAGAATTTCCAATTGGAAATTAGGTGATTCTTGTTCGATCCTCTTCGCGTTGAATTGATGGATACTAAACGTTCCTTGGACCTCCATGAATGGTTTTGACGGTGCGAATTTTCTCGAATCGAGCTGGTTTGCTCTACCCAATAGAGGGCCCTCTTACTCAATTCATCCTTGACCTCATCCTGGGGGGTGTATTTTTATCAAAGTAACACAGCAAACAATCAATCCGAAGATTGATTGAACTCGAATCAAGAACAAGGCGGTCTTAATACGAAATTGGGATAAAACGGAACCAACGGACAATTCCACACCTGAGGAAAGCTCGTATGGTATAAAAGGGTAGTTGCTCGACCATGATTGAAGAGGATATTCAATCGATACAGAGCTCACAAGTTTGGAATCCACCAAACTCAAACAAGTCGCAACTTGCACAAAACCAAAGGGTTTGTTTTTCGATTAATCAAAGTCTGAATTTTACAACGAAATATAACGGTATTTAAAGGCAAATAAAACCTAATACAATCCTAATATAACTAGGAAACAATTAAGGTAAAAACAAACTCTAAAAGCAGTACAAAACTCGGCCACAAACTTCCTTTCTTGACGCACAAGTAAGCTGCCAGCAAACAGTGCAAAAGCAGCTTTCGTACTAACTTCGCGCCTTTCGTTCGAGACCTTCCCGAACTCCAATTCTTCATCCAATTCCTTGGCTTGAGTTCAAGTCCTTAAGCCTCATTTCTTAAGGAAAATCTTAAAGCCTTCCTATTGGCTGATAGTGGATTAGGTAGTTAATGTGGGTTAGTAGTTAATAGGTAGTTAAGGGTAAATAGGGTTATGCAAATATAATTAAAATTAATATAATTAATTAATGATTCTCTTTCTCTCTCCTCCCATGATTTTCTCCATAACCCTCTCTCTACATTACTAGCAGAGGGCCCGGCCTCTTGGCCGGAAGACCTTTATATACTTGTATATATAATTATGCTCGACTTTAACGAACATATTACATATGTGATCGGTAAGCTGACCATCAATAACTTATAAAAGTACTCAAAAGATTTAATTAGTAAAGTTTATAGAATGTTATTGAAAACATGTCGAACAACATATATATGTACCTAATATATTGATGCATTTTAACTCAACTATCTTCGTAAAGAAGGTCTTATCTAAGCAAAATGTTTAGAAATAATAGCATGATTGTTTCTTCCCATGACATATGCATAATCATTGTGTTGACCCATCACAAATCATTAGTAAGTAACTATAACAATGTCGAACTTGATAACATCAAATCTCTATGGCGACATCACCATTAAATGAAAACCTTTATTATGTGCCTTTAAAATTTCTCTCAATTCTATATAATTATGCTCGAATATTTATGAAAACTATGACAATGTCCAATTTGACCTTCATAACCTAGTACTCTCTCGCCTTCATCTTTCCCTCTGACCCCAAAATTTTCAAAGTTCCCAACACTGAAAATTCTTTTAGTCCTCATATCTAACCCTAATAATTCATATCAACGGTAAAATTAACCATCCTTTTCCAATCAACTTCTTTTAGCCGATCCCAAGTATATAATTTGGATGATTCACATACCTGTAAAGAATAAGATTTTTTATAGGCATATTAAATTGCCATATTTCGACTGCTCATTCAGATATACAATGTCATCGAGATCTATTACCATCTTCAATAGACAATGTTGATGAGTAATAGAAAAATACAATGTAATTTGTAACAGAGAATTTGTTTGTATTTCCATCTTTACTCTCTAGATCTCAATTACCTAGATGCCATTGTTTGTCTTTCCATCTGTAACAGAGAATTTGTTTGTCATTCCATCTTTACTCTTCGTCATTCGGATGCACGTTGTTTATTGTTTTATTACTTATCAACGTTGTCTGAGATTTTTGGCTTCAAAAGTTTATACTTTTTGTGAGATGAGTTCGACGGGTAAAGAGGAGTCTTATCTAGGAGAAGAAGCTTGATGTCAACCTTCTTAGTGATAATGGAGTAAAGAGAAAATGAGAAAGGGGCATGGATTTAGGCTGTCGATAGGAAGATTGGTTGGAGAAGGAGGTTGAATTTGTGAGAAATTTTAGGGACAGGGTAGAGATGGGTAGTGATTTGGCCTAGAGTTACACCCACCTGAATTAATCCGGTCATAACCCACTCAACACATGTTTGGGTGTGTGTGTGTCATTTTCTTTGTGGCCCATAAAATTTGGGTGGTGACGGATGGGTCATTAGCCTGTCAAAGCACTTGATATATCATGTTACTAATATATATTATATGATAATGTACATAAATTCTAATCCCAAAATATTAATCATTATTGAAATGATAATTAGTTATTATAAATTTGCTTAACTTATTACATAAATTATAAAATAATCATTTAAAAAATACAATACATATTCTTAAAGATTATTGATTTACTCGCACCAAAAAAATTATTAATAATTTTCTTGAATTTTTAATTTTTTATATTCGATAAGCTTATTATAAATTTTTATGGCTCATAGTTATCTTTTTTATAAATATTTTATGACCAACCAAATCGTCAAACCCACCAACCATCCAACATTAGCAATACGACCCACTCACTTAACTACAAATGAATAGGTTGAGTGATGTTTTCATCACACACCAAAAGAATGAGTTAATGGATTTTAGGGAAAACCCCTCATCAGAAGTACACAACCATCGCTCATAGATATGGTAATGGGTCATATGACCCAATTGTCAAGAGAGTATTGGTGTCAAATCCAAATGGATCTATATGCACTTTTAATGGGTTTTGGTTGGGTTTGAATTGTGTTCTTTTTGGCTCAATTCATTTGGGTTAAATCCAAATGGATCTACCTGAGTCTAGATGATTGTATAAAAAAAATTATATCTGTCGTTTTATTAACTAC